TCTGCTCGTCCGGCACATACTGCGAAACCAGAAGTGCCCTCTCCTTGAAATCCCACATCAACTGCTGCACCTCGATTACCAGTGAAAACTCAGTTCGGAACCAAGTCGAGAAATCATCTTATGTCATCACATCAACTGCATCATCAGATAATGCATGCCCTACCTCCTCCCACCAGTCTAGTTCCCTGTCCATCAAAAGGCTGGAAGCTAATCTGACATTGTCCCCTTCAGGACAACGATTGGTGCGGAAAGCGTTAGAAAAATCTGCTAACAACCACCTACTTGCAATGGGGTCCTTAACCCCATGATAATCTGGAGCTCTACAAGCCCGGAACTCCTGTAATGTCAAATATTGAGCTCTTGCTAGTGCCATCATCTCAGAACAAAACAAGATCAATCGCTCATCCAAGACCTCCAAGATACCCTCCTTGACCGAGCCAAAGATCACAAGATTCTGATCAAGAATGAATGCTATGAGTAATCATAGATGAGAGGAACTCCATAGTCCGATTATCGAGCTGCCCAACTCTAGATCCTGAGCCTGAACCCTCACCGGCACCAAAACTGCTAACAGGTATGCCCCACAATACCACCATACTGAAAATTGACCATATAAACCATCATAACACACACATCGATATATATATATATATATATATATATATATATATATATATATATGTATATATATATATATGTATATATATGAGAATCACACACTCCTCAAGCTCCCTAGTCTCATCGCAGCTTTCCTTGAATTGAATACAAATCCTCTACTTCCAGTAGTACGAGCCTATACTACATTCCACATCTATTCGTACTTCCCTCAAGAATTACTTTGATTCAACCAAGTTACTCTATTTCCATACAACCTTCCCCCACAGATAAGGCTCCCAGCACTAGATCTCATCCTAGGTTTTTCTAGGGCAAACTCCACACTACTCTCTGGTATCAGGTGCAGAAGGAAGTCCTGCTAACTTCCTCTAACTAGCTGACGAATACCATTACATATCACTAAATATAGATTATTCTTCAAATAAGAGGTCTCACACTACAACAGCTGGACTCAAACAAGAGTTGCGCAATAGAGTTAAAACCTAACCCTCTAAAAATATTTAGTTCCCATAATATGTAACTTACATATTTGTTTACTATTTAGATGAAGCTAGTTAGATCTCCTAAATACACAAGGCAAGCAACATTTGAGCATCGAGTAATCAGAACCAAACATACCGTAATCAAACCATCTTATCACTGACTGATCAGTACTAGCATGCAAGTCTACAAGCTCATACAACAGGCATACAAATGCATCTCTCCTAGCATTCTATCATGCAAAAACTGAGCATATCTTTAGCCCTACCTAGCACGTGGTTCATAGATTCACAGATCAAAGAATATCAAATAACATGTGTGGGTAATTTGGGAAAACTTACTTGAGCTTGACTGAATGCATGCACGACACCCTTTTTTATTTTAGAAAACCCTTTTCTTAAAATATTTTTCTTTCGAAAAAACTTTACCAAATCCTCAGTTTGAGTTCAAACACACCCGAGAGTATGCTCAAATCTCTCAAACCAAGGCTCTGATACCAACTTGTAACATCCCGAAAACATGATACAAAAATTTCATTTTTAATTTAAGTAATATAGTATTCCAACATTATCCCTACATACCAAAAAAACAAGTGTATCAAATATCATAAAATCAAAGTGAAATATCAAGTTGTGGTGTGTGCAATGCAGTCATCCCGAGCTCTTCCCCTTGCAACTGGAAGTACCTGAAACATAAATTGAAAACCATAAGCACAAAGCTTATTGAGTTCCCCAAAGTACCCCATACCATACATAATAAATCACATACTAGCCCCCGTCCAACATCGGGCCCTGTTCGGCATCGAGCCTCGCTTCGTTTACAGATCTGTTATTCAAAGGCCTCGCTTGTCACTGGGCCTCGCCCACTACACACATACAATATATATCATATATTCATGCTAACTTATATAATGATCATAAACACTAGCATATATTCCAGTCATTGGGCCTCGCCCGACATTGAGCCCTGCCCAATATACATAACAACACATAACACATGCAAGGGTCACGTAGACTCCTATCAACCTAGCATAATCAATAAGGTCCGACATTGGTGCCTTAGACCCAGTAAATACATTGAGGAAACTCACCTCGAATTCTGAATCTCACTGAAAGAAATCCCAAGATGCTGTCCTGACGACTCCCCGAGCTATCAGTACAAATTAACACTTGGGTTCTAATCTATAGCCAATAATCCTTACTTAGGGTAAAATGACCATTATACCCCTGGCCTAGCTTGATCCAAATATAAGGCCCAAATCCACAATCTAAAAGGCCCCAAATGAAAAGGTCATCTAAGGCCCACTTATGACCCAATTTTCCATATTAGGCCCAAACCCCTCCTTTGGACCTTACCCTAAAGCCCAATAATTTTTGTTAGTCCAAAAGCTTGATTTAAAATGGCCCAATAAGGCCCAAAGCAACAAGGTCCAAAGAAATGGCTCAACCAAGGCCCAAAAGAAGCGAAGAACACCAAGATCCTAGATCTAAGCTTCAAAAATGACAACTTTATAAATCTAGGACCAAAAGAACACCAAGAGTGGCAACTCTAAGCTTCAGAAATGATATAAAACCACAAAATCTCATCTATGTTAGCAGAAGGGTCCAAAAATCAAACCAAAAGAGATCTAAGCTTCTTAAGAGCAAGGTTAAATCTTTATACCTCAAACAAGCCAAAAATAGAGCAGCTGATCCGGATCTACAAGCTCCCACTCTTCCAATGAAGCTTCAAGATGACCCCTTTCCTCCAAAACACCAAAAAACACCAAAAAGACCTTCTAATATCAAGAACACACAACTATGGAGTTAGGGTTTCAAGTATAGGGCTAGGAGGACAAGGAGGCTGAGTAAATGAGGGTTTCATGTCCATAAGGATGATTATATAGTGGCCAACCCTGAAAATTAGGGTTTTCAAAATTCATTACGTACAACCCCAGATCCCCGATCAAGTCTTCACATGAGTATGCTAAGCGTACTACTTGTTACACCCTGCGTACCCGCTTTACAGCTTGTATGCTAAGTGTACCTTATGGTACTCCCCGTGTACAACTCAAGAACTAAATTGGACAATTTAAATAATACAAGGGAAAAAGATAAACTTATCGAGATTCAAGTGTTACAGGTGTTAATGAAAGTGTTGTTTGCATTGGTGAAATTGATAAACTATCATTGAATGTTGGTTTGTCTGATAATGAATTAGATAAATCGTGTTTGAGGCATTGTCAACATAGCCATATTAATAAGAAGCGCATTGCCAATCTCCAATCAGATGGGATCTTGAAATTGTTTGACCTCAAGTCAGATGATGTATGTGAATCTTGCTTACTTGGCAAGATGACAAAGGCGCCATTCACATGCCACTGTGAAAGAGGCAAGGATTTGTTAGATCTCATCAATACAGATGTTTGTGGGACATTCAAATCTGCCACAAGACATGGAGAAAGATACATCGTGACTTTCATTGACGATTTTAGCAGATATGGATATATCTATCTATTCAAGCATAACTCAGAAACCTTTGAGGTGTTCAAAGAGTTTCAAAACAAAGTAGAGAACTAATTAGGCGAAAAGATCAAGATGATCCGATCCAATAGAGGTGGAGAACATTTAGGTCTTGAATTATATGATCATCTTAATAATTGGGCAATAGTTTCACAATTGTCTCTTCCCAGAACACCATAGTTGAATGGTGTGGCTGAGAGAAGAAATCAAACACTATTAGATATGTTTCGATCTATGATGAGTTGAGCTACACTTCCAATATCTTTTTGGGGGTATTCCTTAGATATAGACGCCCACATTCTAAACCCCGTACCTACTAAGAAGGTTGATAAAACAACCTATGAGATGTCGAGTGGGAAACGTCCTTCACTAGTACACATAAAAGTTTAGGGTTATGAGGATTGTGTTCGTCGTGAGGAAAATGATCAGCTCAAACCCAAATCAGAGAAGTGTTACTTCATTGGTTATCCATAAAATTCTTTTGGATACTTGTTCTACAAACCTTCTGGGAGCAATGTGTTTGTTTCTCGGAGGGGATTCTTCCCTAAGAGGGATCTCATTTCCAAAGAGGACAATAGGAGCCATATTGACCTAGAAGAGCTTCAGGAGTCAAGTGAAGAAGAACCTTTAGTAGACACTAGCACTCAACCTGAGGTGAAATAACCTATTGAGGAAACTCAACCTGAGGCAGAGCAATGTGTTGAACAAAATGATATATCTTCACCTCCCCTTCGTAGATCCAATAGAGATCATCTTCCTCCCAAGTTCTATGGTTTCCCTATGAGCATAGAAGGAAATGTATTGATCAGTGATCGTACATTGGTTAATATGGATGAGCCATCCAACTATAAGGAAGAGATTATAGGCTCTGAGGCTTCAAAGTGGAATTAAATCATCGAGAGCGAGATTTAGTCCATGTAGGACAACCAAGTTTGGAATTTGGTTGATCCTACACCTGACATTAAAATTGTTGGGTGCAAATGGATTTTCAAGAATAAGACCAACATGTATAGGAATATGCACATGTTCAAGGCTAGGTTGGTTGCAAAGGGTTATCCTCAAATTCAAGGGATTGATTATGAGGAAACATTTTCACCAATATCCAAGATCAAGTCTGTTAGGATATTACATTCCATAATAGCCTTTCATGATTATGAAGTATGGAAAATGGATGTGAAAACCGCTTTCCTTAACGGACTGACTTGACTACTGTTACCAAAGTTTGTTAATCGTTTATAGTTTCTTCCACATTCATTATAATATTGGCAACAGTTTTCAGTGGCAAATATAAGTTGTGTGAAAAACAAAATTATCAACATCTTGCTTGAAACCTAATACAAGAAATTTGTTTTAACTTCAAACTTGAAAACTCTTTTAGTTGCGGGATTGGACATAACATCTGCAATGTTAACATGGGCTTTATGTTTGTTGCTCAACAACCCAAGAGTATTAAAAATTGCCCAATATGAATTGGATGAGCATGTTGGAAGGAAGAGAGAAGTAGAGGAGTCGCACTTGAAGAACCTTGTTTACCTTAACACAATCGTTAAAGAAACACTACGTTTATACCTGCCTGGACCTCTAACCCTTCATCATGAGTCGATGGAGGATTGCATTATTGGTGGCTACAAAATCCCTAAAGGCACACGTTTATTGACTAATCTTTGGAAAATTCAACATGATCCTACTAAATGGCCAGATCCTGAAGAATTTCAGCCAGAAAGATTCTTGACAAGTCATAAACATGTTGATGTCAGGGGAAACACTTATGAATTGTTTCCTTTCGGTAGTGGTAGAAGAGTATGCCCTGCTATTCCGTTTGCTCTTCGGTCCTTGCATATAACTTTAGCTACTTTAATACAACAATTTGTTCTTAAAAAGCAATCGAACGAACCCGTTGATATGAGCAAAAGCACGGGAGTGACTATCAGCAAAACAATCCCACTTGAGGTCCTTCTTGCCCCCTGTTTATCCCTTGATATTTACCTTGTTGTTGCATGATATGTCATCTTCAAAGCAACTACAAGCTCCAATGCCACCTCACTATAAGCCCGCACCCCTGACCCATTGAAGATTGATTGGAAGATAATCATAAAATCTCTGGATTCCACTCCTGACTGGCCTTTTCAACAACTTGTTTAGTCATACTAACTTTGTTTTTTTATCTTCCATATTTTATGTATAGTTTCTACTTACTATTGTTTGTAATCTCTATCTCTCTATATAGAGCCCTCGTTGGTTTCTAATTCAATCATCAATAATAAATGATCCTTAGCATGAAAATATTATTTCCATTTTTACTTAGTACAGTTGTTTAAATGAATTTTGTTCAAGTAAAATGTGTGTAAACATGACAAGAATTCGAGTAACTAAGAATAATAGCAGTTTAAAAATAGAATTAAGATATCAAACGTAAACATTCACCAACAAGAATAACGATGTGGTAAATAAAAGAGATACGAAGACTTACGTTGAAACCAAAAAAAGGAAAACTCAAATAATCAACTTACTATAGTTTGAAGTGTTTATAGGGTTGAGAAAAAATTTCAACGACCTTTTAATGGTGATTGAAATATGAGGGTAAAACCCTTTTTATTGCTATTGTGGTAGGGTACACTCGCCAAAATCAATGAAATAACACTAGATATTGGCTAATTGAGAATCATGTAACTTTTATATTATATATATATATATATATATATATATATATATATATATATATATATATATATATATATATATATATATATTAAAAGAGAAACCTGATAGCATCACCTTCAACAATCAGGGTTATTCATTGTGTTTCCTTGATTAATTTCAACCCTTGAATCCTTTTGATGATGTCATCCTAAAATAAAATTAAATTAAATTAATATTGACTAACTGATTTGATGTTAACATCATTTATAAAATAAATATATTCAACTCATTTAAACCTCATCATAATTTTTGACAATAAATTTCGTTCAATCCTAATTAAATCATGTTCTTAGCTGGCTCCTTTCGTATGTTCTTTCAATTCACATCTATTATATGAAACGTATCTACAATATTACGGGATATCGTCGCTTAATTTCAAAGAATCACATAATTCTAAATTTGATATCCTTTCCGTAATCATTGTTGAAAGTTATGTATAAATCATGTGATGTTGTTCGTACATTATGTTTTCTTCACACCCTTTGCAACATCATGTTCGAAAAACATAACCCTTTGCAACATCACGTTCGCTATCCAGGTTCCTTCTTTAATATGATGTTCTTAATTTTTATTAATTGTATTCAATTTTTTTTCATTCACATCAGTGTTGTATTAGACTGTGATCTTTGAATGCATGAATAATATTGATTATAAATGTTAGTATTAGTTTTTGAATATTTTATTGTTGTCTTTTTAACCTTGCATTTTATGTTGTACTTTACATGTTTGATATTAAGAAAAGCACAATGACTTTTGATTAACTATATGTATGTTTGTCTTACGTAATTAAATTTTTATGAGATTGTTTGGATTGCATGCTAGTTGATGATTGAAAACTACCATTTACCCTTCAGTTTTTTTAATTATCAATATTATGTTTCTATTAATTTGACATATTTTCCGATAATTCTTGGTTTTTAACATATTTAGTCAATAGCAATGTACTTTGACTTTATCTATAATGTTTTGATTTGAAATTTCTAAATTTCTTTTGAGTTCTTGTAACTATGTTCAGTGGATACAAAGTGCATTGTAATTTATATTTTATTTTTAACATATTTAGTTAATAGCAATGTACGTACGTGGTTTTTTTTTTATTTAAAAAGCCAAAGCTCTTATTTCAACATCTTCCTCTAATTTGTCCCTGTCTTTGAAGGGTCATATCTCGGTCATGGGAAACCCTTTTTGGTTGATATCAGTGAAAAAAGCTTCATTTAAGTCCTCTACACTTCATTTGTTTTGACTAAAATCCATAAATTCCTCTAACTATGGTTAAAACGCCCATTTACCTAGACTAGTCCGGAATAAAATGTTATGCGAGACGGATTTGTAAAATTCTCCATAAATCAGATAAAATTCGTATAGAGGTGTGTGAATACTAGTTTAAAAGCTAAGACCTTAATCTATCTTCATGTTATATAGTTTTCAAAAATATGGAGGTTAATAGGGAAAACAGGTCCCGAACAGATCCTAAGTTTTACGTATAAATATGCAATTGACAATATGACATCCTACTTTCAATTTTCCTTCAAAGTGAATTGACCATTGTGCCCTTATTTGTTTCAAAAATTTTGAGCTTTATAAATGTGTTCAGTGAATACAAAGTGCATTGTATTTTCTATTTTGTTTTTAACAGACATTGTAGCACTTGAGTCGCCAAGTATTAATTTAACCTATTATCTAGTTTAATTAGACTAAAAGGTGGTGAAAGGATTCGTGAGTACGCTAGGTGTACATTAGGTACACACAACATACTGCTTTCATGCACATCATCGAGGTGATCCCGGTGTACGTTGGGCATACTTAAGCCAGGGGCAAACCGTAATTTTTAAGGTTTGCACCTTTTTTAAGGTCCTTAAGTTCTTCAGGTGCTTCACCCTTTCAGCCTCCATTTCGTTTTAGTACTAATCTCGAAACCCTAGCTATCTTGAGTGAATTTTTGAGATTACATAGAGTGTTTGGATGTTCTTTGGTGGTTTTGAAGAAGAAGGAAGTTTTAGAAGAAGCGAAGGATAAGAAGGAGCTTGTAGATTTAGTGTTTGTGCATCATTTATAGCCTATTGAAGGTGTTTGAAACTTGTTCATTCTAAACTTAGATCTAGACTTAGGGAAGCTTTTAGCATCTTTTAGTCCCATAACTTGGTCTTTTGGAGTATGGGCTACTCCAGGCCATTTGAGTTGTCGTTTTGGACTGTTGGGAGTGCATTGAGTCATAAAAATCGTATCTTGGTGGTTGAGACTTAATCATGCATGTGTTAGTGACCACTTAAGTCAGTTAGAGGGCTTAATTCATTGTTTGAGTCCCATTACGACATTCAGGTGCATAAAGTAAGCAACTTTATAGCTTAAGACACTATTATGAGCGTGAAATTATGTTTTAGACGTTAGAGCTTAATGGATTAAGATTTGGGTGCAAGGTTGGGCTGACTAGCCAGTATGTCGGGCGTACTCTAGAGTATGATACGCGTACTGGGCCAGTGCCCGGATTCTGGATAATCATCATAGTACATTAGGCGTACGAGCCATGTGCGTTGTGCGGACATAGTCTATGGACCTACACAATTTTTGGGCTTGAGTATTATTGGGCTTTTGACTTTTTTATGTTTGGGCCTTAAACCCACCTATTGTAGCAAGACATTTGAGGGCTTTAGGCCATGTTGGGTACTCTTAGGCCATATTGTGCCTTAAAGGCCTTGTATTTGGGCTTAGATGCCTGTTTAGACTTGTGTGGATTTGGGCCTTGGTGGGAGGGAGGCCTAATGAGGCAAGGTGAAGAAACCCTTTTTGCCTAAAAGTCAATAATGAGGGTTGGTCTTTCGAGTTAGAATATTGGTGTAATTTCTAATTAGTTTTTTTATGCTTGGGCCTTAGGGAGAGGATTTTGGAGCCATCTGTTGAGTGTGATTTGATACCTTCAGTCTGAGGTGAGTTTCCTTCACTGTATCTGTGGGTCGAAAGCACCAATGATGGCCCACTTGTTTATGTTGTAGTATGATGGTTGACTTCGTGACAACTATCAGTTATGCGTATGTTTGCTTGATGATTATGTGATTATTTGTTATAATATTGTATGGTAGTGGTATGGGGTGAAATAGACCCAGTATCCGCTTGAAATAGACCAAAGGGGATTGCAAGCACCTATATATGCTTGTTAGTATCCGGTTGAAATGGATAGAAGGGGGTTGCAAGCACCTATATATGCTTAACAATATCCGATTGAAATAGACCGAAGGGGATTTCATGCACCTAGATATGTTTAACTGTATGTTTGGATGGTATGGCGTATTTTTTTAGGGGGGGGGGGACTCACTAAGCTCCATGCTTACAATTTTGAATTTATGTTTCAGATACTTCCAGTTTGAAGGGGAAGGGTCTGGCCTGATCACACCGCATCACCCTATGGTTTCCACATTTTGAGATTTTGGTAGTTTGTACTCTGATAACATGTTGTTATGATACACTTTTTACAAATTTGATATTAGTATTGTATGATTTGAATGAATTTAAAAACAAAAATTTATCCGTATTTTTGGGTCGTTACAAGTTGGTATCAAAGCCTTGGTTTGAGGAATTCGAGCATACTCTCGGATGTGACTAGACTCAAATCGAGGGTTTGGTAGATTTTTCCATAAAAAGACACATTTTAATCTAAGGATTTTAATAGAAGAAAAGAGGTACGATGCGTGCAATCAGCTGAGCTCAAGTAAGCCTTCCCAAAATACCCATAAAAGTTATATGTTTTATGCTATGTATTGAGAATTAGATGTTAGATTAGGGGCTAGGGGCCTACTCAAAATTGTATGATAGAATGCTAGGAGAGATGCCTTTATGTTCCTATTTGTTGATCTTATATATTCGCATGCTAGTATCAGATCAGTTACTTTTTAGGATGGCTTGTATAGGGTATGTTTTGAGTTGAATTGCCTGATGCTTGAGTGTTGCATGCTTTGTGCTTTAAGAAATTCTATTGTTACTACATAATTATTGGATGAATGCGTTGGATTACATATTATTGTGATTGGATAATTTTAGAAGGATAGGTTTAACTCTATTGCGCAACTCTTGTTTGAGTCCAACCGTTACAGTGTGGGACTTGTCATTCGAAGAATTATCTAGTAGTTTGTAATTGTGTTCATGTAGTGGTTAGGTAGTATTAGTGGAGGGTGAGGAAGGGAGTCTTAGGAAGTCCCTGAGGGATGCTTTGGTGTGTAGGAATCCTTATAGTATGCGGAATGTACCAGTTGGGAAGAGTAACTATGAGGAGTCAGCGTAGTCCTTGAGGAGGGTATGAATAGGTGTGG